GTAGTCACCGCCATTTTTTTACTCATGGATAACTCTTTCAGACGACCATTGTTGTAGACAATGCCGAGTGAGTTTTGTTTATAAGGGTGTAAAGTGGTATAACTAGACTACGACAGTTAATGTACTAGTCTTGAAATTGTTCGTTCTTTAGATTCATTTAATTCTTGCTTTACATTACTTTCATCACAGTCTTTTGGGACCCACTGGCCCAAGTGTAGCTCGGATACCTCGGGATTGCTAAGCCCGTACTGTAGCTACACTCAAACATAGCTACAGCCCCTGAGGGAAAGCAAATAACAAGTAAATGAATCTTTGTACACCCACTTACAGATTTTCTAGCGAGTATACATACTACCTTTTACTTCTAATAGTTTCGATTTCAAAAAGAATTCCACGTTAGCACAATATGAAATAATCTCCACGTGTCCGCAAAAACGCGTGGTGTAGTTATAAACATAAAGCACTTTTTTTTTGCGTGCTGGTAGAGGCAGACGACCGAGAGGATCACGCGAGACTGTCACGTTATGCGCGGGTGAACATCAAAGGCAGCCGGCAGCGCGTTTAAATTTAAATTTAGAACATCGATTGCACGTCGTTGGAACTGTCGCGCAAATAACCGTCGCGAGGAGCATTAACGTGGTTATCGCCTGGGAATCCGCGCTGGAAGTTCAGTCAGCCCCTGCTGACTCTTTCGGGGGTTTCCCTAACCTGAACAACGTTGTGAATATTGTTTTAAATTATTTAAATAATGATGTATTGAAAGTCCCAATCTGAGTCTCCATCGGTGAAATTAATGGCCCACAAGTACAAACATATGTATATAGGTACTCGAAACACAATGTACAAATAAGAACAAGTACTTTGTATTAATCCTGAGATATAAGAAAAATCTCTTATCATCAGAGAGTTTCATAGAAGCTTAAATGAAGAAGAAAACTATATATATATATAGATACTCAAGACAACCATTGTCCTTTCAATATCTTCTCTAACTACTGTTCCATCCTCTTGAGTTGTAAACCGAGGTGACTCTTTATACGACTGTATTTTCAATCGCTGGCAGTGTGTAACGCGTCTTCTCATTGTCGCCACAATAGAGTTGTTCCCTGGCGAAATTGCGACTTCAACAACGTCGATCTCTATGGACAAATAGGCGGGTATTCGTATGCAAAAGAAGGGGGAAGGGACAAGCGGGATGAAGCCGATGAAAGGAGGGGTTACAAAAGAAATGAAAAGGACGAAGGGGCGCGGAGCACATTCAAGGGCTTCTAGGTTCAAAAAGGCTGCAGTAGAACGGCGTCAGCGAGCGCTAATACCACCAGAGAATTCCCTCGTTTCTTGGAAAATCCCGGCACATTGTCGAAAACAATCGCCTCTGTAAACGATTCTGACGCGAAATTGAACGTTTCTCGGAAGTAGAAGGTGTAACGTGATTCTATTCGCATTTGAATATCGTGAACAATTGTTCAAATTGAAAGAAATCGTCCTGAAAATTCCATCAGAATCGGTGTGTCATGGATGAGTGTGAAAATAGAATAACCAAACACCCCTCGAGCCACAACGAGATACCTAATTCACGCTAACGAAACTTCCTCCAACAGATTCTACTACAAAAATTGAACAATGTCCAAAGAATCTGTGAAAACGTAGAATACTTTGGACATCCGAGAACATCCGCGGGATCCATGCTTCGACAGGAGTTGGAGAGCTGGCAACTTCTGTCCGAAGCTTCGAGTAATTCTCCAGCGAGACCCGAGAATGTTCTACCAATGGCGTAAATCCCATTTTGAAACGTAAACCCTCATTCTTCGCTGCGAGATGTTCTCGGACGGCTGCGGGTGTATTGGCGTCAGGAAATTCGATGTATCGATTGCACCTAGCTGGGTACCAGAATTGGCACGAAAAGGACCAGAGACTTGGAGGACGAGAGAGCGAGAGAGAGAGAGAGAGCAAGTTCGTTTATTACATGGTATGAGGCGAAGTCCCTTAAGAGCATTTAGCTGGAAATACAAAGTACACCCAGAATGCAGAGCATGTGGGTACAGAAGCTGAATGCAGAGGAAATGTCTGATAAATGCATTGTAAAAGTTGTAAAAGAACACAAGATTGGAAAAGGGAAATTGTAATGCAAGGTAGGAATAAACAAGCCAATTTGACTAAATTGGATTGATTTCTTAGCTTCAAGGTAGTGTGAGGACTCGATAACCCAGACTTAACATACTCATATGGAAAAAAAAAACTTAACTACCACTCTATCTAGATACAATGCCACAGAGCTTGGAGAGCACAGAGTCCTTTACGCTATCCAACATTACACGTCCCAACATCTAGCTTCAGGGAGCCAGAAAGATCCCAGTGGGAGGCACGATTCGTGGCCAGGGTCGGGAACGGGACGCTAACAACGGCGATTCGTAATTAAAACGGACGAAGAAACACGGACTGGCGAGCGAAGATGGAAACTGCAAGGTAAATAGAGGGACCGACGCAGCGTTTCGGGGTATAATTAAGCAGTCGGCTTGCGAAAGCGCGAGGAAAGAGAATGTAAAATTATTTAATAACATGAAACGTCCGCGGGAAAAGCAACCCAGGAAAAAGGGGGATACATGAGCAAAGCGTGGACGTGGCAGTTTGCGCGCAGCGTTTCGAGATTATGTGAAAACAAAGAGAGGAACACGCGCGACGAAAAGGTCGAGGTGACAGGACGCGATTCAATTTGTCCTCGCGGATTGCCAAGTCGTGAAACCGTTGGACGTAGAACGTTTCTGCTCGTTGATCGATCTCGATCTTCGTCAGGGGAGGAAAGTTCCTCGAGAGAATCTGCGAACTGGTCGCGAAGTTGGACGTAGTTTGCCAAGTATGTGGGACGTCAGTCCCGTGGAAGAGGAGCGTGACGTAAGATCACTTGGGGACAGCGACGTCTTCGGGGGAGACTTCTCAGTTACGTACGCCATCGAGAAAAATGTGCATGTAACTGGTACTGAGGGATTTCCAAGCTGAACATTCTAGGAAGCAAAATGTAAGCGAGGTGAAGTAGTAATAGCGTCCAGATTTTAAGATACGGGGTCTCAAAGTACTCTATCTTGTCGAATTTCCAACTTTAGATCTTACTCAAGATCGCTACGATTTCTCCCCATCGTCTGATTTCTTTATTCCAGCACTATTTGTCGTTTCTTCGTCCAAGAAAAACGAAGTGAATCAAAATGGAGAGAAAGTACGTGCTTAAATTATAAGAGTACCAGAGCAATGCAATGCTCAATTTCTTCTTACGAACGGCACGTCCCGAGTTCCCTATTCCATTTTGGCAGAGACCACGAAACCAAGCAGAAGCAGCTGATGCATTGGAGTGCACCGTGGTAGGTGATTCTCAAAAGAGGTTGAAGACTTACACAGGGGATCGATAAGGGAAATATTAGGGAGGAAACGTTGCAACCACAAAAGATGCAGGTCTCCATTACCGGCGTGCTCAAAGGGAACATTGCAGCCTCCGAGTCTCAATCTTGGTGGGACGAATAGGCTCTCTGTCTCTCCCTCTATCTCGCCCCCCTGCCTGTCTGTCTCCGTCTTCCTCGTTAGAGGCATCTGAAGATACGTTCGCGATATTTGATCGTGGGGAAACCACTGTAGAGAGAGAGAGAGAGCGAAGCAACACTGAACCCTGTTCTCCTTTGTAAATTGAAAACTTGCAAACCATGGGAAGGGAAGCATTCTAAAGGGAATTATTCGATACCTTCGACCCTTCGCGAAACTTTCATTAATGGGATCTTTGCAGTAGCAATTGCAACGTTGCAACACTGCATTCAGCGCATTCTTCGGCTCAGCCACCGAGAATCAGCTTTCAACGTAATCCTTTGAAGCCACGTGTAGCATATTTGCAGGTTTCTCTGTTCCGAGGAAGTTATTCCATTCTTCTGGTATGTGTTTGTTATTTGTAAACATTTCATCTAACGCTTTAAATAAAAGTAAACTTTATTCCATTTCGATTCATTTATATTTATCAACAGAGATATATTCCTGTGGTTGTCTTTGTTTTTTTCAATAAAATATAATTACAATGCTACATTGCAATGACGAAATCATGCATTGTCCCCACAGTCGAGCAAATGAATATTAATGGAGTTTCACTATTCAAACTTTTGTCGAGAAAAAAGATAAATATTAATTTCCTTTCCATGTTCGAAATGCCGTCGAGAGAAAAAAAGAACAATAATTTAATTTCACTGTTCAAAATTCGACCATGACATGTTGAAAAAGGAACGAGCCCGAGACCTACTTATTAAAAATATTGTTTACGAAATGTAGGGTAATACCGTGAGAATGTCGCGAATTTTCAATTCTCCTCAGTAAAGGAGACGTCCAGGGGCACCAAAATGACGTCTCGGTCCTTCAATAATCGTTCGTTTAGATTCCCGCGGTCAAGTCGAACGACGAAAGGACCTAGAGTAATCTGGAAACCTAGGGACGAGCACATATCGTGCCTCGCTCGTCTTGCTCTTTCCTCCCTTCAATATCTCCGTGCCGACGGGAAAGCTTTTCTCCCGTTTAAAATACGAGCGACGTCCCGCGTCGTTAAAATGCCATCAATACTGCAGTCAGCCCTGCCTTTGTGAATATCCGTTGTTTCTTCGAAAGGCATAAAAACAAAAATTATACTCGGACATTTCACTGGAGAAATTGAGAGGCTCTGTCGGTGGGACTCGATGATTCCGAGATTATCCTTAAAGCATTTCCCTTAGAAACGTCAGGAGTGAAAATTTACATACAGTCAGTCCCATAAATATCCGTACGTTGTATGTCTATTAAAGGAATCTGTCTGTTGTTTGAAAATATCAAACCTATCATTTAATTTATACCGATTTCTTTAATAGACATAGAAGGTCACGATTGTGTTTCATTACAGATACCGAGAGAAAAGGCTTTGAACTTATATAATTCTTCTAATTGATGTTTAATTTTGAGTTTAATCTCGAGGAAATTCTTTTGAAAGAGTATTTCATTTACAGAAGCCAGGCTGCATCCATGGCGAGGACCTGCCATACTTTTTCGGAGCGCCCATCGTGGGCGGCCTCTCCCATTGGCCGAAGAACTACACCAAAGCTGAGATCGCCCTTTCAGAGAGCGTGATACTTTACTTGACGAACTTCGTGCGCACGGGGTGAGTCCTTGGAAAATTCAAACTCTAAGAACTCACCCTTCACGCTGCATTGCAAATAATTTCTGTAGAGGCGATAAACTACTGTACCATTGCAAACTAAGAAGTGTCGCCCTCGGTAATAAAAAAAAGTAACCTCTTTGTTCTCTGGCAGGAATCCAAACGAAGGCACGCCAGACCTAGGTCCGATGGGACCAGAGCGAACCAAGTTCAAGAATATCGGCTGGGTCGCTTACGAGGCCGTGCACAAGAAATACCTGAGCATAGGTGAGTGACGAGGAAAGACTACGAACTTTGGAATTAGTTACGGGCAAACTGAGGCAGCTACGAGCTCTAAGATTATCCGAGTTCAAGACTATCAGCGCTCGTTAAATTCTTACGCCAATACCGAAGTAAAAGGAAGTACTAATAGAAAAATAAATTGCGGTCCGAAAGAGCACTCGACTTACAAATTAAGGGATAACAAATTTCGAACTTCTATCAGATTCCAAAGAAAACATTTCCGGACTTCAACTCTCAATACCTATCCAATTACTGTGAATTTTATTCTGAAATAAACGAAAAAATTCACGTAGCATCTACCCAAGTACACTAATCACCACAAACAGTGTCTCTTCGATATCTGTTTTGTCAATTCGCCTGAGAAAATTCCAATCGTTGCCCACATTCAAACAAAGGAAACGTCTACAAAGAAGGACCTGGAAATTCCAAGGATAAAGGAAGGTAAAAATAGTGATGGTCCATTTTAGGGAGTGGAAGCTCCTCGTTTCCTCTCGTGGAACGTTTTGAACCGGAAACGGAAATTATTTAATCCGATTACGTCCCAAAGTGAGTATAATGAATCTAATTCCCGGGGGGGCGCTTCCACGCACTTTGCACATGTAACTAAGAGGATCAGCGAAGATTTATTTGCATAATTCTCGTTCCCGGGGTGAAATGAGAGTGGCAGTTCGTCAGGAGCAAACCTGGCAGTCCCGCGGGAGTTCACTTGTGCTGCGAGACTCGCGGAGCCTCTTCAAATTGCGTCGCTGACTTTGAAATGAAAAGCCAACGTCACCTGCGTCCCCTTCGACTCTCGTGCTGCTCGACGAGAGTCTATTTTTATCGTCGGGATATACAAGAAAATCTGCCGCGGAAAGCGACGAACCTGGCGGAATACATTTTCTATCCAATATATGACTTTGTGCGTCTTGCGTGGCATAATAAAGCAGGGTATCATTATTCTCTTTTCGCTGGAGATCGTGATTTATGAGGGGATATATTCAGATATCGGGGAGAAGAGGAAACTTAATAACGCGATATTTAGATACACGTGTTCCATTGATAAATAACAGTAAAAAAACGGAAGTGAAACGAATAAATATTTCTAGTCTCGCAACAGAATTCATTTTACTTTGACACGTGTATTATTAAGGACGACTCGAATCCATTTAACACGAAACCTACCATGATCAAGATATCTCAGTTCGTCGTCGCTCAGAGGCAATCGCTCTTTTGAGTATTTTCTACAACTGGCCGGTGCGCTTAACTGCGACAAGGAACTCGAAATGACGAACAGAATAACGGTAGGGCGCAAAGTTCGATTCACGCTCGAGTGCAGCGCGGCTCAAACTATGCGGGCATCATAGCCGCAAGTAGAAAAGTCTCAGCAAAGCCAACCCCGAGGGTTAACAGCGCACCCTACCCCTCGGAGCAGGCTTCCTCGCCCAGCGATTCTGCAGTTTGGAACTTTGGGGCGCACTGACTAACGAACCCGCCTTCTGTACGAGATTACCGCGCGACAATAATTAATTACTCCGCCGCTAATACGGAAAGGGCACCCGTGAAGGCTGTAAAAGCCTTTCCAGGCCACCGTGCCAGCGGGTTGTTCGAAGTTTGATATTTCTTTTACTTACCTCTTCCGTGGCCACCGCTGACAAAGCATTCGTGTTTGCAGAGCTCAAATCGAAGCTGAAGAACCACTACAGGGCGCACAGACTCTCGTTTTGGCTGAACCTGGTCCCAGACCTGCACAAACCTGGCTCGGACGACGTACCTAGGTCGCATCATCTTCTGGACACTGAGCAGGTACATCTACAAGCGATAGGCATGGCTATTTTAACGCATTGTTCACCGACAATTTTTTCGTAATTTTTGTACTACTGAACTACTGAGTGATAGAAACTTAAGTTCTCATACTTACATTCATATCTATCCTTCCAAGTCAACTGACTGCTTTCTTTCGCCTACAGGTGCCTCCAAGATTCATCCAGAGGATACCAACGACAACCAGGGTGACGACAGTGGAGGCAACGCTGGCGGAGAAGACAGTGAACGTCACCACTGCCTCACCTAGCGAGGTAGCTTACGAAGACTCCACAGCACAGCCTGAGGACGGGTTCGCAGCTTACTCCACAGCCCTCAGCGTAACGATAGCGATAGGCTGCAGCCTGCTGATCCTCAACGTGCTGATATTCGCCGGAGTCTACTATCAACGCGACAAGAGCAGCCAACACAACTGCTCGAAGAAGCGCCAAGAGAACGGACAGATGCCCAACAACATCTGCGGAGACCTGGAGACGAAGACAGCTGAAAGACACCATATTCAGCATATCCCACCGCCAGAGTTTGCCGATCTGCAGAACAACAGCTGCCACGTGCCCATGCCGCCGCCACCCCCGAAGAACACCAAGCCTGGGAAGCCTGGACAGAACCTGATCATCAGTCCCAATCAGCTCCAGCAGGAGAGCATGGCGATGACTGGTACAGGCACTCTTAAAAAGGGACACAATCATCAGCAACAGGTCATGGACGAGCTGAGGGTCTGACTTCAGGAGTACCTTGCGGACGGAGGTGAACAGTTGCGGACGGTTGATAACCTCGAAAGATCGAGCAAGGTGTCCCTCGAATTTATGAACGAATTGTTCGGCTGGGTGTCGGTGATATTCGAGGAGTCGGGAGGCGGGAGCTCGATGTAGATCGATACGGGGATTCACACGGGAGGTGGATGAATGAAGTTGATCTTCGAGATTGAAACTGTGGGAATTGAGAAACGCTTTCTGTTATTTATGATGTCTGATTGTGGGAAATGATTGTCTGTAAAATTGTTGGGAATGGCAGGGTGTCCCAGAAGGTAGTTGGTTACTTCTCAGATGTGATGGATACAAATATATGTATCGATGTTCGTTATATTCGCTTTCATTGTGATTGGTTTATCTTTGGAACGAGTTACAAAAATCCCAAAAACTAGATACATTGGAAACCAAATTGTAATTAGAACTGTAAGTCACTCGGTGTACAGTCCAGACTTTGGAACATCTTTTCCATTAAAAATTATGGGACATTTTCTGGGACATCCTAGCTACATTGTATTTTTTCTCAAGAGCTATCGAGACGTCTTGCAACGTCCATCTTGGCATTATCTTAATTAGACCTGATAAGACAATGAAAGCTAATGTGTTCATCCACGACGAACCTCCAGAATCGTCTACACCCTTGGCGATTCTCAACGATCGAAGATCCTTGAAAATCCTCAAGAATGTGCGATCGATTGCAACGACCCCTCCGTCTTTGAATCGATCCCGAATCCTCTCGCCTAAGAAGCTGAAGTGTACAGTGAACGCGAAACGAACACACATAAATCGATGTCTCCGCGAATGTAATCGTTTCGTACGAAGCGAGAACAAACACAAATCATACGACCAACTGCCGAAAATTGTGTAGTCCTCGATATACGATAGCAAGATGTAAGTAGAACTCTCAGTCTTGAAAGAAAACGCAGAGTTTACCAAAAAGATCATCTCCTAAAGCGTTGAGTCTAACTGTTCGAGGCTACACCTTTTGTAACCCCCTGTGACCCTAATTGTTCCCCGTTTTGCGTTAGAATTCGTGTTGAATTCGAGCTGAACACGTGTTCCTCGGCTATCCCCAATAAACGACCATAAATGATGAGGTGGAACCGAAGACGTCGAGTTTGCCTCGACGTAAAGGGGTAGTTTTGTGGATGATAGTCATTCGGATGTCTGACAATGAGAGAAGAAATCCGTGTATTGTATGGAGAAATGAAGATTTGTTTTAAATTAAGAGGAATGTTTTACCTTGAATCAGTAAAATATCACTATTTATTTCATGAGAATTACTGTGACTTAAAGGAGGAGTTTCTCCAAAATGTCTGAATTTTAATTATTCGTTCTTCAATTTACTGGTTTTCTTTTAAGAATATTATTGGAGGCCTCAATTAAAAGTCGAGACAAAATCATCTCTTCTGTAAAAGAAAAAATCTTTACTGCGACTTCGTTCACCTATGCATTCGATTCTTCGACTCCTCAGATGTCAGACCCCTGAAACAAAGCACCCCTTCGTCACTGACGATACTTCCAGCGGGAATTTGTTAAAATTCTGACAAAATTGAAACCATCGCCAATTGGATCCATGGTAATCAAGTTTATCGAACATTTGCAGACGCTGGAAGTGACGTCTATCCCGTAAAGCTGCTCAATGAAAACACGGAAGAGACGAATAAATCAAATCGCTCGAAGAACGGCAATTCCGCGATCTCGAATCGACTAGCACCGCGAAGGGGTTCATTTTTTTACTGAGAAATGGAGGAGAGAGCCACCTATGAAACTAAACAACAGCATACTGCCATATGATTGGAAGAGACACTTTAGCTGAATATTCGCTGCCACGATAGCGATCGATTTGCTGCGAGAAATCGCTGTTCAAGAAGATGTTGATGCGAAAGTGAAACTGAACGAACCCGTTGTTTTTCGTAAGAATTTTTTTAGGGTGATACCTGTTGGGCGAACAAGGACTCTTCATCGACGAGAGCGAGTTTAGACTGTAAATAATAAATAATTAAATTTAGTGGTTCGTCGAGTCGCTGATATTGTTGTGCCGAATGAAAAGAATAACGGGGAATACGATTGTAGCTGTACGAGGAATGGGATGGCGTGTGACAGCGTAGAAGCACTGGACGTAATTTTAAATTTGTATATAATTGACATTACAATAAACTATGTAAACAATTACTATCATCCACGCCGTTTATCAAAGACTTCTGTGAAAATTGGTCACTTCGTCGAGGTGAGTATACAGTAAAAATTATAAGAACATTTTTACGAAACTCTTTTATATAATTACTTATTATTCTCGCGTGCGGTGTTCTTCTAAAATTCGTCCAATCTTCGTTATTGATTTTACTCTCCTTGAGAGCTTATCTCGTCCGCCTCATTTTCCCATGCCTCTGAAACTTGCCTTGTAATACTTTCTCCCCGCAATATTTAAAAGATTATTTATTTTACCGTCACGATATTATCGAGTTAGAAGAGAATGCTTCCCCGCACAGATAAGAGCCTTATGAAAATCTTGATTGAACGAAGTAGGGTAGAGAGTTTGTCAAAGGATCCAGGTAAGTGGGTTATAAATAGCAATACTGCGTTTCATCCGGTTAAATAAAACGTATTTATACTCCACATAATAGTACAGTACGTGAATTTATACTCTGGTAATACATTGCATTCCATACTTTCTCGGAATTGCTTCCGATACGAGCATTTAGATTAGGCACTGTGTCTAGTCTCTCAAGGGAGTAGAATAAGACCGTAACTGGTCAGACCAAGAATTAAAATGAGATCAATCGATAAATATCAACGTGCAATAGACACATTTGATTCCTTTGTATATTAAACTCTCTTTGATACATCATAACAAGCATTTGATTAATAAATAATGCAAAGTTTTTTAATAGAGATTATTCCCCAGACGTATCTTATCCTTTCTCTCTCGATCTAACGCCCATTTAATTGCAATCCCAGTCTACTTTTCGAATTGTACTCTCGACAGGATAAAACCTCGTTAATTTGGATCCCATTAGTCTCAACATTCTCACTCCAATTAATCCAAACTAGCGGAGCTTCCTATCGCTGGACTCTCGTCCTACGGTAATCTCCTCTCAGAACGATAAAACTTCATCAATGAAGATTTTGTTAATTCCGAACCTGCATTTCACTCGGACGATCTCTCCTCCCAATTAATATACGGATTAGCGGGATTTCCCAGTATTTTCCTTCCCAGCGATCTGTTTTTAATACGACGAAAACCCTCGTCGACCCGGATCACCTTTAATCTGCATTTCCGTTTACCCTGAAATACTCGAATTAATCCAGCCTTTAGCAAATTAAATTTCATTCTACACAAACAAGTATTCTGTGAGTAATCGTAACTAGCAATTACAGAAATAACGCAAGATAAAATAATTCTTTATATTTGCAACGTGATAAATTGTAGACTTGAAAGGTTGGATTAACGTTATCCCTCGTAATTTTCATCGCCAATATTCCTTAAACTTACCCAATTGTTCCTTCCACTCGACTCCTCCGATACCATGCACCGTGGGAAAAGTTTGAGACGAAAAGCCCCGAATTGACGTGTTCCAGTTTCGATTGGAATTACGGCCGAAATAAGAGGAATTGGAAGGTGAAACGATCGTGCTCGTGGAACTTCTCGCTGCCGTTTGTTTCGGTGACTTTAACGATTGGTTCGTCGAATTTTTCGAGAAGTTCGACGCCACGAATTGCTGGAGAGGTCGATTCTGGCTCAACTTTCAAACTTGGAAGAATTTCGGTCGCCCTTCGACTACTAATTAGAGCTGGGATTATTCCTGTGAACTAATGTTCGAATATTTTATAGATAATGGAATATTAAAATTAAAAAATTCCCAGCTCAATCTATAATTTCAATAATCTTAAAAAAATGACTGGGAGCTTGCTTTCGATTTTAAGCTTCTATGTATCGAGGCAAAAACAAAATCATGTTACCATTCAAGGTCACCCCCCTCTATGGCAGATACAGAAAATCGCGACGATGACCTTCAATGGCCAATTGATTTTGCTTTAACTGAAAGAAAAAGGACTGTAATGTTCATTTTCAATTATATTTCTGCAAGATCTCGTTCGATGACGTTTAAACAAAAGCGTACATTATTTCCTATTTTATATAATGTATCGGAAACTTAAAGCCTTGACGTTTAACCCTTCTAGCCTCGAGTTCTCCAAGAACGTATAAAAAGTATCAAGAATTTCGATCTTCTATTTCTTTGTCAAGTTTCATTCGGCGTATCAGGCGTGTAATATCGACTCTAAAGAAAAGTGACACTCGAGCTGGTTTAGAAATGATTAGCCGCAAAGCAACGTCGAGGCTCCAAGGGTTAACCTTACAATTAATGAATATCGCACCCTACTGCTACGTTAAGTTTGACAATTTAATTGCAAAGAGACGATACAGCGAATACCTCTATTCAACTAAGAAACATCGGCTACAATAACTTCGACCGCGAAACGCGGCTGGCTTGCAAATTACATTCACAAGAATTTTTCATTTTGAAATGCTAGAAATCATCGTCGCTATCGTACTATTAATCGCCGTTAACCCCTTCGCTGCAAAGGACGACCGCGGAATATAATCGAGTTTGAATAGAATAACGACCTACCTAGAACGATCAAACAAAAATTACGCTGTCGAGATATATTTTATCACAATGACTATCGAGCCAATTTTATACAAATTCCCCCGTATTTTCCCATAATAAGTCGAATTAAGTCAACTACCCCTCGACCCGTGGAACATTTGCGGTCAACACAAACTATTAATCTCGACACACTTTTAGGAATGTTCAACAGAATTAAACACACGAAGAACCAATGGAATGCTGGAATCTACTCAAGAAGTGTTGAATGGAATTTGAAATATATGTACAATCGAATGGGGTGAACCATTATCCCGGTGCCTCGAGGGGTTGAATTTAGACTTAAATTTAAAATCCTACCTAGAACCTCTACCGACGTCTCGAGTTCTCTTGGATCCTCGTCGTAAGCGAAGGGGTTACGCCGCAACGAAATATATCAATCCCACTGCGCCCCGAAAAGCAAGCACCGTGAATCACTGAACGATCGACGCGTCGATCGTTCCGACTAGATCGGCGTACTTCGGTTCGTTCGATTCGCCGCCACGCGGAGGAGACAGCCCCAGCAAATATCTCCTAGGCTGCAACCGGAAGTGTGCCTCTGGCCGTGACGAATGTGACGCTTCCTCTTTAGGCGTGAGTCTTACAATAGGCGAAGATTAAACATTAGCGGTATACCCAGCGTCGGATTAAGTAAAGCTACAAGGATACTGGAATATCTTGAAATAACGTTTTCAAGTGAAATAACGCTAGATTGAAGGAAATTTTGAAGAACTTGCGAAAAACTAACAGAAAATATTAATCAGAAATTAATTGATAAAAAGAGATACTTTCCTATCGAGTGAAAAGTCACCTTAATCCGACCCCGGATTTACCCTCGGTATCGAAAGTCGTAAAAGATCCTATCCTACGTCGAACTACGAGCGTGTTTCCATTCGAGGAGTCGGCGAGTGTCGTCTCCTCCGCTCGCGAGGCCGAAACAAAGGAAAACATACGCCTTGGAACTCTTAATAAATAGTCCTTGAGGCTGCGCATACAAGTGGAGAGGATCTGGACGCCAGAAGTGATACGAGTCCATCGGTCTCAGCTGGTTTAGCCGTTCTTTTGGAACAGAGGCAAGCATTACAACGAATAAAAATAAAAAAAAAATAAACCACCGGATGGGTTCGTTTGCAAACTCTGCGATCTGTGGAGGAAGTATACGCGAGAAGCCAATTTAGAAACATAGATTCATACGTAAAAGATTGATACTGAACACCTTTGTGGACTGGTACCAGCAGGCCTCGAAGATCTTCACACGCGGCGACACATTACGGTGCGAATCGACGCTAAATGACACGTTATGCACAGCGGCTGGCGCTAGAGAGACAGTTTAACTCTTTGCAGCAGGCTGGTTAACACATCTAGAACATTTTCATTAGAATCATTCATTAGCTTGCATCAACAATTACTTCTATAATATTCGCCAACAATCATCAGATTAATCAATAATCGTAAAGTATATTTAAAATCTGCAGACACGAATCAATAATTTGTAATCTTTCAAATTAGAATTAATAAAATATGTTCGACACTGGCGTGCACGAGAGGTCTGAATAAAAATGTAAACCTCGTGCGGCAAAGAGTTAACGTTCGGAAAACGGTGCTAGGGCACGTAGAGTTCGCGTTTAAGCACGGATTAATGAGTAACAACGCGCGACTTGTTCTCCTTCTTTTTATCGTTATCTTCGGTGTTTCTCCGAAAAAAAAGCCTTATCACATCAACGTACAACGACGACACTAGGGAAACCTGCGTCCGGTTCTCAACAGACTGCGCAGCTTTCCCAACCTCGCGTTTACCTCCCTTCGGACGCGTCTACTGTTTCACTAACTTCTAATTAGCAGGTGCGAAATTGGCCCGCGTCGTGTGTGGCTCTCTGGAAACGCGAAATTCCAATCCAACCCCCAAACCGCTCTCTGCCCTCTTTGTTTCATCCCCCAAAAATGTCGTTCCTCGTTGCATCTTGATCGGTATAATAAGTTCGTTCGATTAATTAGATACTGGCGCGCTAGAAGCGTTCAGTCTCAACGATGAAACACATAAACGGTGTTTCCCGACGCACTTTTGCGATCATGGCGTCGCACGTGACACGTTCGTGAATTGCTCGTGAAAGAAGAAGACGCAGCTTTAATTTCCAGATCTGTTGAATGTCGTCCGATGAATTTTATTTTATCTTTCAAAGGAGAACTTTGTCTTGATTTTATTTATCCTGTCGATATCCTGAAAGTTCGCGCGTCTTCTTCTTCTTCTTCAATTTACAAACGGATCGCGTGTAGGGCTGGGCCTATTCGAATATTTTATTCTAGCGGTTAATAAACTTTGGATATTCAAGTATTCTAATTATATTCGACGAATATTCGGATGCAGAAGGATTTGCCAAACAGTCCCAGCCCCGATCGCGTGTCGAGGGTCGCTCGCTTATTACCAAGAAATATCGAAAAACGTCTATAAAGATTGTGTAATTACGATTACATTATAAACCTCGAACAATTCGCCGGCGAACAGACTCGCCAATAAACGCACTC